AGGTTAAAAAGGAGCGCCCAAATAGGGCGCCCCATGCAATTTTTACTCTTAGTTAACATTACTAAACCTAGTAGTTTGATTGGGCTAATGCGTAATCCCATGAGGATTTTCACATGAGATTTTTACATTCCTATGCCACATAGGAAACCTTATTACCCTCAATATTTAAGGTTTGACTTAATTACACTTAGTATATTAAATTACCAATTCTATACCATAATTATTAATAAAGGGTATAATTAATTGTACATTTTTTACTCCTTAATTAAAGGAATCTGCACGTTTCTCTCTCCTAACCCCTCAGTCCCACCCACGTTTTACCCCTACCAACGTTCTTTTTACCAGTTTCCATCTTCTGAAACCAAATTCTCCCTCTAAATTCACAGAAAATTGAAGAAACCCTTCAACAAAGTTGGTTCCCCATTTTACTCCAGTTGAAGTTCATCAATGAAGAACAACAAAGTTCATCAAATTGAAGTCAAATCTTCAAAGTTCATACACACATTTACCTTCAGCTTCAAATTTTCTCAATGAAGAAGAACAAACTTTCAAAGAAACAAGAGAGCATCAATTCCACCATTGACAACCATTAAAAAGCTTTGAAGCTTTGAATTCAAATTTGGGTTTTCAAAAATCATTATTTGTTTTGATTGGGTGTTGTTGTAAATATTTGGGAATATGTTTTGGAGTTTATATCTCAAATTTGAGGGGTTTTGGTGAAGATTTAGACTTAGTTTTGGCTGAATTTCAGATTGAAACTCGAAGAAGAAGAAGAAGAAGAATTGCAGCAATTGTAGATAAATTGCAGACTGTTTTTTGCAGAAGATTTGTAGAAGTTTTAGTCGTTTTTGATTTGTGAAAACAGAAAACAAAGCATCTACAATCAGAATACAAATAATCTACAATTTATCTACAAAATATTTACAAATTGGGTACATTGAATTTTAATATCCCAATTTTCATTCAATTGTAGCTTAATTGGTATTTTCGACATAATTGCATTTTTTGCAGAAGATTTTGTACGAGTTTTAGTCGTTTTGGATTTGTGAAAACAGAAAACAATACATCTAAAATCAGAATATAAATAATCTACAATTTATCTACAAAATATCTACAAACTGGGTACATTGAATTTTAGTATCCCAATTCCCATTCGATTGTAGCATAATTGGCATTTTCGACGTAATTGCATTTTTTTGCAGAAGATTTGTAGAAATTTTAGCCGTTTTTGATTTGTGAAAACAGAAAACAAAGCATCTACAATCAGAATACAAATAATCTACAATTTATCTACAAAATATCTACAAACTGGGTACACTAAATTTTTATATCTCAATTCCCATCCAATTGTAGCATAATTGTGATTTTTGACATAATTGCATTTTTTCAGAAGATTTGTAGGAGTTTTAGCCGTTTTTTATTTGTGAAAACAGAAAATAAAGCATCTACAATCAGAATACAAATAATCTACAATTTATCTACAATTTCTGCAATATGTCTTCTTCTTTTTCTTCTTCTTCGAGTTTCAATTTGAGATTCAATCAAAACCAAGTCTAATCTTCACCAAAACCCCTCAAAATTGAGATATAAACTCCAAACCATATTCCCGATTATTTTCAACAACACCCAATCCAAACAAATAATGATTTTTGAAAACCCAAAATTTGAATTCAAAGCTTTCAAGATTTTTAATGGCTATCAATGGTGGAAAATATCTGGAAGAATATTTACTTTCATAATTGTAGCGCGCCTAAATAGGAATATCTGGAAGAATATGATTTGATCTGATTTACGCCAAATCTTTTTAGAATATTTTGTTCCTCAATTTTAGCTCGACAAATTAGGAATATTCAGCTACTATTAATTAGTATTTAATGATTGGTATAATAACTGTAGAAAAAATGTGGACAGGGCGGGTAAATTAGAAACTATGCACATTTTTTATAATAAGGTTTCATATATGGTATAGGAAAGAAAAAATCTCTTTTCAAATTAGTTAATATTGTAATGCAGGTCAAATAGTGCCTTGAATATAAGATGCTCATGTAAAGCCCATTACTTCAAACGAGTGAATAGCCTAACCAGGGAGAAAGCCCAAAATCTGGCCCAAATTGAAAACAGAACCCCTCATCGCTTGTAAAATTTTTATGAGGCGCTCTATTTGGTTGAACTCATTTAACTTGTACCACTTTTTTTAAGGGATTTTTTCATTCCTATATATTATTGGAAACTTTATTACCTTAAATATTCATGTTTAGTTAATTACCCGGCATATACAAATTTTGTTTACAAAATATATACAATCCACGTTAAAAGACTCTCAATCCATTATTTGTGCCTTCAATAAAGGGATTTAGTTACACCTTTTTCCTTTTTTCTCTCCTCTCTCACCTGTTCTCTCTATTCTTTCTTGCACAGTTAATAATCTACGTACCTTTTGTATTATAATTATATTATATTTCCTGACATTTGAGAAGAAGCAGTGATAACTTTCTACAGAACATCTGGGTAACAATTTTGAGGAAGTTAATTACTTGTGCCCAACACCAGGACCAGGACCCTTGTGGGATCTGTTGGAGATAGCTGATTAACAATGTTGCTAAATTGAATTAACTTAATTTGAATTAAACACTACCAAAGTCAATTATAACTAAATTATTATTACCAGATTAATACTAAGCAAATCAAAAAGTCGTCTTTTAGAGGATAGTTCGATTATCAAGAGTTTACAAACTCACAATATCATGACTTTGAGTAATCTTGCTCGATTGTCGCATAGTTAAATTTTCATTATTTTATAGTCAGTAATAATTAAAAGGCAAGTTTCTCTTTAATTTCATATTCAAAGAGTAATTAGCTCTCTGTTTGAGCTCAGAATGTCTAAGGAAGTAACTCCCCGGTTTAAAAATATAAAGAGATCAAACATATAATTCTCTATTTTCAGACAATTCACGCGTAAAATTAAATCTGCATTGGATTGATGATCCAACCAATTTGTACAGTAGAAGTTTTTCCTAAGGAAAAAATATTTCTGTGCAAGTCTTTAAAGGTATCCAGTTAAATACAACTACAATAACATACAACTTAAATATAAATTTTATACAATATATCTTTTGTATATTTTGTATATGATTTATACATAGTAAAAATAAATTTCATACAACTAATTATATATTATACAATATATCTACAACTTATCTACAACTTTCACACATTATTTCTACCCAGTTAAATATAACTACAATAACATATAACTTAAATATAAATTTTATACAAAATTTATACAATATATCTTTTGTATATTTTGTATTTGATTTATAAATAGTAAAAACAAATTTCATACAACTAATTATATATTATACATATGTTATACAACTTATCTACAATTTCATACATTACTTCTACTCAGTTATATACAACTACAATATCATACAACTTAAATATAATTTTTATACAATATTGTTCAACTTTCATACAATAGTTAAATAAATAAAAAATATATATATAAACAACAAAATACAATTTTTCTATAATTTTTCTACAATTTCGTAAATATAATGTATACCATTTCTTATTCTTCTTCTTCGAGTTTCAATCTGAAATTTAGCCAAAGTCAAGTCTAATCTTTACCAAAATCTCTCAAAATTGAGATATAAACTCCAAACCATATTCCCAATTGTTTATGACAACACTCAATCCAAACAAATAATAATTTTTGAAAACTCAAATTCGAATTCAAAGCTTCAAAGCTTTTTAATGGCTATCAATTGTAGAATTGCTGCTCTCTTTTCCTTTGTTTTACATTACTGAAATTAGGGATTGAGAGATAGAGAGATACATAGAGAGAATTCCCAATTCTTTGAAACAACATCCAATTCAAACAAATAATGCTTTTTGAAAACCCAAAATCGAATTCAAAACTTCAAAACTTTTTAATGGTTGTCAATGATGGAATCGTGGGTGGGTGCAAGATACGTGGGGGAGGGGGATGAGATGTGGAGAGAGAAACGTGGGGGAGTGGAAGATATGTTAGAGTAATTTTAGGACACTAATTATTATCATTAATTTCCTTAAAATGTACATAAATGGTAATTGAGTATATAAAATGTAATTATAGTAAAACTTGAATAGAGAGAGTAATATAGTTTCATATAGTGTATAGGAATGTAAAATTACTTTTTTTTTTAAAAAGTTTAGCTCGTACCCAAAGTACAGACAACTTAAGATCTTCTTTTCCTCCTTTTTCTTTTTCCTTCTTCTTCTTCTTCTTCTTCTTCTTAATTGTTGTGAAAACAAAGGTGACAGTAGATTTTATGGTGGTTGTGAGCATGTTTTAAGGTAGTCTGTGGTGTTTTATAATAGTAAGCTAATGTGGCGCTCCTCTCTTTACTACTGTTTAATTTTTCTTCTTTTTCTTCTTCTTAGTTGCAAAATGGGTTTGTTAGAAGTAAATGCAATTTCAAAATGAAGTTGGGTGATGAGGTGGCATGCCACATGACATCCACCTCAACTAAGTGTCAGGCCATGTGGGATTATATTGCCATGATGGAAGGGTTAACGATTGAAGGGTAATCTCGGACCACTTTTATAACATTAGGAATATTGGTGGACCGATAGTATAACGGGGTCAAAATTAGTCCTTTTTAATAGTAAAGGGGTAGATTTAACCATTTTTCGAATATTTTATGATGTTACTACGAATAAAAAGAAGAAAGAGAAAGAAATCAAGTGGAACTTTAGCAAATCTAACAACCAAACCAAGTGGAATTTTAGCAAATCTAACAACCTAATTGTGTTAAATATTTGACGGAGATCCAAAGTACTTACTTTTAGTAAATTAAAGGACCAAAACATCTTCGGTATATACTTAAGAAACCACTTTGAACATACCTCCAAACATAAAGGATCATTTGTGTCATTTTCTTGTCAAAATTAATTAAGTTTTAAAAGAAAAAAACTAGGGTCAAAAGTGGAAGAGCAAATACTTGTCTCCTTGTTGTATTACTTTTAAAACCCCTGAAACCCTAAACCCATTTTCATCCAGGCCGCTCATAGTGTGTTCACTGTTAAAAAATGAGACCTCCAAGAGGACGTGGTGGTGGCGGATTTAGGGGCGGCAGAGACGGCGGCCGCGGTGGCAGATTTGGTGGTGGTCGTGGCGGCGGCCGCTTTCCTCCTCGCGATGAAGGACCCCCTTCTGAAGTCGTAGGTAAACATAGTTGCATTTAACTGAATCTCTTTGTTTGTGTGTGTGTGAGTATTTTTTTTTTCTTTTTTCTTTTGTGTGTTTAAGCTTTATCTGATGAAAAATGTGTTTTTTTGAATGGTAATATATGCAGAGGTATCAGCATTTGTACACGCATGTGAAGGAGATGCAGTAACAAAGCTCACTAATGAAAAAATCCCTTACTTTAACGCTCCTATTTACCTTCAGAACAAGACCCAGATTGGTAAAGTTGATGAAATTTTTGGTCCTATTAATGAATCTGTAAGTAATCTCTTTTTCCCATTTGTTATTTGCTAGTACTATTTTCTATTGCTATATGTTAGCTTTTAAATTTTCATGGATAAAGTTGTAGCTTTAAATCTTTAATATTTAATATTCGGAGAAGGATCTAAGCTATATACACTGACAGTTAACTTTTTTTATATTATTACTGTGTAGCTTAACTTGTGATTGAAAATTTATCCTATAATTACCTTGTGTAATATTTTTGTACCTTTAGTGCACAGAACTTAAACTCTTCGAAAAATGATGCCATTCACTAATATTTTGTTGTGGTGGTTATTTGAGAGCAATAATCAATTTTCGCTCGAATCGTTTGTAGGGGAACCCTACCTTCTCTGATCCATTTGACACGCGCAATTTCTTTTCCGTCGATACGCCCCGCAATTTGTATTTGAATTCCTTTTGTATCTGCTTGTTCTGTTAATTCAATAGCCTTTTTCATTGCTTTTCGAAAGGAAACTCTATTCTTTAATTGTCCAGCTATAAATTCTGCAAGAATATTAGGGTTTCCATAAGGTTTTGCAATTCTTGTGACAGCAATGTTCAGTTTTCGGTTTACACAATGAAATTCTTTTTGTAAGGTCGTTTGTAATTCTTCGATTCCGCGCGGTCGACTTTCTATTAATAATTTTGGGAATCCCATAAAGATTATGACCTGGATCAGATCGATTCTTTTTTGAATCTCTATACGTGCAATTCCCTCGACGCCAGAGGACGTTCTCATATTCTTTTGTACATAATTCTTGATACAATCTCTTANGAGGAAACTCCCTGTTATTTGGCATTTGGCAAAAGTTAATACTCCCTGTTCTATTTTATATATATGTCAGTATTTTTCTGTCAGATTTTAATGTGCTAATCCGACATATTATATTGGTAATAGTGGAAGAAATAGTTGAAGGGATGATTGAAATGTTAGGTTAATGGAGAAATCATCACTTAATTGTTTAAAACTTGAATCTTTAGCGAATTTCAAATCCTTGAAAGTTGTGCATTTGTATAGAAGTGGGATGATGTCAAATGTTTTGGAATGTTCCAATATAAAGTGTTGTATAAATGAAATGGAGCAAGTAGTTTCTTTCTTAATACAGCTTCATGAGGAAACAAGGTAAATGGAAATGCCGTTCTTGTGAGAAAAAAAGGAAATTTATTACCTCTGTAGCTCAATAGTGAGCTTTAATTTGGCCTCCAGGGCTTTCGTCTAGTTCTAAGAGCGCAACTCGTGATGCGTGGCTCATGTTATGCTTTATTGCAGTTATTTTCAATTAAGATGTTGGAGGGAATTATTGCAACTTCATATGCAGCTGGAGATAAGTTCTACATTGACCCAGCAAAGCTTTTGCCACTGGCCAGATTTCTTCCGCAGCCCAAGTATGTTTTCTCTGCTTTACGTAACGCTTCATACTTGATTAGTCCTTTCGTTTGATATTAGTATTCGTGGCCCTCTGGATATACTTGTATGCTGAATGAGCTAAATAAGCTATTGAGGAACAATGTCTATGGTTTATGTTCAAGAATAACTTGTAAAAGAGAAGAGTATAAGATAAAGATGGTGAGAGCTTTTGGACTATATCATAAATTAGAATTGGCCCAAGAGGTAAGCAACTTTGACGATACCTTTTAGCAAAGGGAGGAGATGCAGTTGTACAATTTGTGGGATCTAATGCTTTTCATACAAATGGAGTATTATATTGTAAATCCAAATAGTTGAACTCAAGGATGTACCTGCTCTATAGCTGCAGTTTCCTGCACTTGTGCTTGAGAAAAAAATTGATTTCTGGGGGCATTGTTTGATTCCTTTGCAGGCGCCGTTCCATATTTTATTTGCTATTTGATGTTATGCAAATGCTTTAAAAAATTCTTCACTGTTGCAGGGGACAGCAACAAGCTTTTAGAGGTGGTGGACGAGGTGGAGGAAGAGGTGGACGTGGAGGAGGTGGTGGTTTTCGCGGTAGGGGTGCTCCTCGCGGGGGTAGAGGTCCTCCTCGGGGCGGTCGTGGAGGTGGTTTTAGGGGTAGAGGGAGATTTTAAAAAGGAATGTAATGTACTTTTGATTTCTCAATTTAGTTTGTAATTCTGGATGATGTGAACGTATGTTATCATAGTTCCTTTTTGTTGTTAATGGAATCAGCCCTCCTTTATCTTTGTTTTGTTCCGGATAATTGGCATTGTGAGAATCTTTGTCCCATTTATTTCCCATCATTTTGTCCATATAATCAACTCTTTTAGTCTAATTAACGGCATAGCTCATTTGGACTTGGTTATCAAGGTCCCTCATTGAGTGGCCTTGGTTTGTTATGTATTCGGCTTTTGGTATATCTGGTGGAGTTGAAGGGGAGCCCTGGCGAAAGTGGTAAAGTTGCTGCTGCCATATGACTTGGATGCGGGGTAAGGAGTTGAAGGGGAACCTTGGCGTAACTGGTAAAGTTGTTGTTGTCATGTGACTTGAAGGTTACAAGTTCAAGCTATGGAAATAGCCTCTTGCAGAAATGTAGGGTAAGACTGCGTATAATAGACTCTTGTGGTCCGGCCCTTCCTTGGACCCCGCGCATAGCTGAAGTTGGTGCACTGGATTGCTTTTTTTTTTTTAATTTTTTTTTTAAATATCTGGTGGAGTGATTTGGTTACACGATTAAGAGCCTGTTTGGATGGGCTTTTAAGCACTTTTTAACTTGTGGAAGTGTTTGACAACCAAAAAAATGGCTTAAAAAAAGTTAAAATCTGCTTAAAAAAAAGCCAAAACCAATAAGTTGGAAAACCCAATTTTTTCGAAATTGGCTTAAAAGCGATATTGCTTTGACCAAACATATTATATTTTTATCCCTTATAAGTTTTCTTAATACCGAAATTACCCCTCGTTAGAAAACCCTACAACATACTATTTTTTTCTTTTCTCCATTCTTGTTGCAGCAGCCTTTGCTTTCTTCTTCTTCTTCCATAACTTTCCTTTCTTTTCCTTTCATTTCCTTCTTTACACTTTCATTCATTATCTTCCCCTCTTTTTCTTTCCTTTCTTTCTTTCCCAGTGCTGCTCCCTTCCCCGTCACACTCCTTATGTCCGTTCTAATCTTCTTTCTCCTTATGCCCGTTCTTCTTCTTCTTACATAAATATTGTTCTTTTAGCTTCTTTATTTGGTTCCATAACATTTAATTTTTTTTTGGCATTGAATCCTTCCTTTTTTTTTTTAAATTGGTGTAACTATATTCTAAAATCAAATCATTCAATGAATTTACATGTTTCCCCTGAATTTGAAGCTATCATATTATAGTAATCACCTCTCTTTATAATGTTAACAACTTTAAGGATATTTATGTCATTTTAACAAAAAAAAAATGTTTACCAACACTGGTTTTACCAAACACTTCTATCAGTTTTTTTTCAGTTTCAGCACTTTTATCCAAACACGTAACTGCTTATTTATAAAATAAGTTCCAGCACTTATAAAGTGCTTTTAAGCACTTAACTTAAAAGTCATTTTTAAGCCAATCCAACAACAACAACTACCCAGTATAATCCCAACAAGTGGGGTCTGGGGAGGGTAGAATGTACGCAGCCTTACCCCTATCCTTCCAGGGTAGGGAGACTGTTTCTGAATGACCCTCGGCTAAAAAGGGTGAAGGAAGCCCTGCTTATTTATAAAACAAGTTCCATCACTTATAAAATGCTTTTAAGCACTTAACTTAAAAGCACTTTTTTAAGCCAATCCAAACGGGCCTAAAGGTGATTGTTAGGTGGGAAATCAATTCATCTCATTTTGATATAAATAATTGGGCAGTAGAGAGCGATCAAAATATTTGAAGCAAGAATTTTACAGTGCAATAAGTTGTCTAGTCCTGATGGATCTTTCACTGTGTTACTTTATAACGAGTTTTCATGATCTAAAAACTACCAGTATAAAATGCAGGCACAATGATACTCAAAGATAAGATCAAGAAACAACAAACTAGTTTGCATATTAAGTGCATCTTTCAATTATTATTCAGAAGCCACAGTCCTTGGGTAGAACATTTTTAGTTTACAAGATGTAGAAAGGAAAAAAAAAAGGGCTGAAGGCGAAAAAGGTGGAGGTCAACCCAGAACATCAAATGGATAAAGCTTTTGCCAAATTATGCTGAACATACAACTTAATACAGACAAGTGTGAACTCCATGTTTTCATATGAAAAACAAGACAAGCCACCATGTGTCTCATTCTCAAGCTTCCCATCCCCTTAGAACAGTCGCTCTAGCTACACGATTAACGCCCAGCGTGAAGGCACCCATTCGGAGATCACAGTTGTGAGTCTTGCACATATCCTTGACATCTTTAAAGCCTCTTGTCATGTATGTCTTCAACTCAGCATTCACTTTATCCTCATCCCACATAAAGCCCTGGATGTTCTAGTATTTCAAAAACATCGAGAATTTGATAAGCTAACTGAATAAAATGGCTCTTGCAAGTTTTAACATGTTCTTTTGGTGCATAACAGACGAAACAACAGAATAAGAACAATGCTTTGTGGTAAAGTATGAAAAAATTATATGAAGGTATAATACCTGAACCCACTCAAAATAACTAACGGTGACACCACCTGAATTAGCGTATATGTCTGGTAGGATGACAACTCCTTTCTTTGCCAAAATCTGCAGAGGATTAGAATTAATTAAAATGCTGCACTTGTCTTCTGCGTGTCTCAAATATGATTTGTAATTAACAAGCTTGCTTATTCTACCTCCTTTTTTAACTTTTGCTTTAGTTGCTTCATTGTGAAAAAACAAAACAAAAGAATTATTGCACTGACCTCATCAGCTTCTGGATCAGTCGGATGGTTAGCTGCCTCAATAATATATTTGGCTTTAATATCATTTGCATTATCCCTTCAATGAGAAGTTCAGACGTATCACAAATATGACATAAAAGGCTTCTTGATAACTAGTTCAATGCAAAATCATGAAAGTACCTGTTGATTACTCCGCCAAGGGCAGCTGGTATAAGAACATCACAATCTTCTACTAGTATTGAATGTGGATCTATTGGACGTGCATCATTGAAACCTTTAACTCCACGATTTTCCTTCACGTGTTTGAGTAGGCTTGCTATGTTGAGTCCATTCTCGTTCTTTATGGCGCCTGTTATGTCACTTACTGCAACGATTTTCCCACCTTGCTCATTGATGAGTTTTGCTGCCCAGGAACCAACATTCCCAAATCCCTAAGAGTAGGCAAAACATTGTCAAATTCGCATTTTGTCCAGTTACAACTAACAACAGATAATATCATAAAATCTACTATAAAAATTTCTTGGGTCCCCAAAATTTGGGGGCTTATGCAAAGGCTTTACTAGCCTCACCCTGAGCCGCCCCTTCCCAAAACAGAAGTAAACATTTTGACTATGCTAACCTGTATAACAAAACGCTGCCCAGCAATACTCTTGCCATGCTCTTTTAGCAGTGCTTCCGTAGCAAAGAGAACACCCCTTCCGGTAGCTGCATCTCTGCCTAAGGATCCACCAAGATCCTGTAATAAATTGTTACATCTCTTAGGCTAAATTGACAATGATCCCTCAAATAGATAAAGAAGTCATTTTCACTACAAAGCTTGTGCATATCTAAACTAGAGCAAAAAGATGTGATGAACACAAAAGTAGTAGAGTCAAGTTCACAAAGTGAACGTCCAACACCAATTGGATTTGTAAAATGAGTTCATAGATCGTAGAAAAACATGAATTGGGAATAGAACTCTGCTGAATTTTTATGTGTACTCACAATAGGTTTTCCGGTGACAACTGCAGGTGAATAACCATGAAATTTTGAGTACTCGTCGAGAATCCATGCCATTGTCTGCACAAAGAAATTGTAGTAGCTCCAGTAAGACATATTTCACTAAGAAGACAAAGCATTAGATGCAATCCACTAAAATGCTAGGCAAGAAAAATCATATTCACAGACCTGTGGATTTGTTCCCATATCTGGTGCCGGAACATCAGTGTGAATTCCGATCAGGTCATGTATTTTTTGAGTAAATACTCGAGTAAGTCGTTCTAGCTCAGAGTTACTCAGGTCACTAGGACTACATCCTATGCCCCCTTTAGCCCCACCATATGGTATATTGGCTACTGCTGTTTTCCATGTCATTAGCTGTGCTAAGGCATTTACCTCATCCGGGTCAACCTACATTAGACACTGATGAGTTACTATCGAACATATGCTATATCGATCAATTGATAACGTCATAAACATAATATTGAATAAAAGAACTACTACTCAGTCTGCAGATTACTATTTCTGATACAATCAGCAATGAGTAGTGGTTTATCATAGAGAAGAAAAATTAACCTCAGGATGGTATCTGATTCCGCCTTTCATAGGCCCGCGAGCATTGTCATGTTGTACTCTGAATCCAACAAAAGATGCCAATGAGCCATCATCTTTTGGTATTGTACACTCCACCTGAAAGATTGCACAAAATCAAAAGTTTAAGTCAAGCTCCCTAAGTACAAATTCCAAAACCAGAACAAAATCTGTTTTTATTTGCCAAAAACTGTTGTCATCAAAGCATAAGTAGGAAAACAACAAAATCTGTTACTCCACTATTATCAACTCAACCCAAATAAAGGGGAAAAAGAAGAGGGGTGTATCTTCTATTTCAAGAATCCCTTTTCATCTAAAATAAAGATAATCAAGTGACATACCTTAATTTCTCTAAAGGGGATTAGCAGACTCTTTTCCAGCTTAGAGTCTAAACCGAGCAGTCGAGCTGCCAGCTTAAAGTTTCTATTTGTTGCTGCTAAAGCATTCATGATTTTCCTCAAAAAACCCAGAGAAAGTCAATATCCTGATATAGGAAAGGCAAAAAATCAATCCTAGATTTTTAAAAAGGAAAGGGTGAAGCAAGAAAATTTATACTCCACTTGGCAATAAGATCTCAGCAGACATTAATTTATAATTTTCCATATATGTGGAAAACAGAAGATTCAAACAATCACGTCTTAATCTTATCCAGAGAGCTAAAACATTAATTTCTTTCTTACCCAAAAACCAAGAATTCAACAAACGGAGGCTGCACTTGATCAAGCAAATATAATTAGCATGGAGTGTGTAGGCCACTATATTTGGTAGGTCGATTTGATCATTGAGCTAGCTGCTGTTTATATAATAAGTGTCAGCATCTTTATCT